AATACTGCCTTGTCTGCCTCGGAGGCCCCAGAGGATCCCTGATGCAGGTGCTGTTGGTCAGGGGCAGCCGTGACTGTCCCCACAGCCAGGCCACAAGCTCATGACTGCAACAGCACAGAGAGAGGCTCTCGAGGGTCTGGCCTGTAGTTCTCCAAGAGGCCATCCGGGCCTGCAGCCCCAAGCCCCAGGGAACTGGCCAGATGTGGTCACTCCCAGACCCAGGCTGTGGCTCCGGGGCACTGGGAGTTGGCCAGGACCTAGGTCAGCCCTGCCCAGCAGCCCACAAGTGCCACTGGCTCACAGCTACTGCCCTAGGTAGTAGACTCTGGCTGGGGGACAAACCCAGACTGCCACTGATTTTAGTTTTTTTTTCTGAGACAGGGTTTTACTATCCTGCCCCAAGGCTGGCTTGCAAATTCTGGGCTCAAGTGAACCTCCTGCTTCAGCCTCCCAAGTAGTTGGGACCACAAACTCATATCCTGGCTCCTGGCTACCACTTGTTTTGGAGCTAAGAGTCTGGAGTTAAGAATAAGCCCAGCATGATGGTGCATACACGGAATCCCAGCAGGCTGGGAGGCTAAGGCGGGGGACTGAAAGTTCCAGCCCAAGATAGGTCATTTAATGACTTAGTGAGACCTTGCTCAAGATGAAATATAACAAAGAGCTGAGCATGTGTCTCGGTGTAAGGGCTCTGGTTTTAATCTTTATATGGCAATAACATAAAATCATGTAAAATAAAATCTAAGGATATCCTTTACATTTTCCAGTGGTTTGGAAAATCAAAAGAAGAATATTTCAGGATAAGTAAAAATTACTTTAAATTTGAATTTCAGTTTCTAAAAATTTTTTTTTTTCTTTTTGAGACAGTCTTACTATGCAATTCAAGCTGGCCTTGAGTTCACTTTGTAGCCCAGGCTGGTCTCAAACTTGCAATGATCCTCCTGCTTCAGCCTCCCACGTGTTGGGATTCCAGGCGTTCACTCCCATCTTATTCACTGTCTTAATAATGGCTTATTAATTTATGCATTTATCTACTCTTACAGCCTTTCCCCTATGATCCACCAGTACACACAGCAGGGTCACGATGACATCATCTATGAACATCCGTTGCCATGGCAGCACCAGGCGCTGGGATGCCAGCTGTCCCTTCTGGTGCCTGCTGTTTCCAAGGTCTGGGCAGTTCCTCCCTGTGGGCTAACGGGCGTTCCTGTAAGGAGGCACGTTTAGGGTTCCCCTCTAAGCATTTGCATCAGATCTTCCCTTTGGCTAGAACTGGCTTTTTCAGAAGTTTCAGTGAACCCACTAGTACTTTTTAAAATTGGAAGGTTTACATTGGCAACCAATTGGTTTAGAGGAACTCAAAGGAGCAGGGCTGGCGCCCCCTGGTGGAAGTTGTCAGCTGCGATTCCAATGTGGAGGACTAGGGGGTGTGCGGTGGGGCGCAGCTTCTGTTGCCTCTTGCTGGCGGACCCCTGCCGCCCTCTGGAATATGTGGCTTGTAAGGAACAGCTGACACCGAAGCTCAAAGTCCCAATCTCTGTGGGTGTGTGGGTGTGTGTGTGGGGGGGCATGCCTGCAATCCTAGCTCTCTAGGAGGCTGAGGAGAGCGAATTAGCAAGAGCCTGTTTCAAAAAGTAAATGAAGGCTGGGAATGCAGCTCGATGCAAAGGGCCTGGGCTCAGAGCCTAGCACGGGGAGAAAGAGGATGGATCTCTGCAAAGGGCCGCTCAGAGGGCCTTCATGTTCTGAATCCTGCCCTGGAGTTGCATTTGTAGAAGAGAAAACAGGCACAACAACGAATGCCCTAGACCTCCAGCCCAGAAGCATGTTTAGAACCCGGGTCCGGCGGGTGACAAAGCCCAGTTCTTCCAGGACACAACGAAGAGCGACTCCGTCGGTCTGGGCCCGCGACTCCCCTAGGCCTCGGAGGATTCAGGTCTTGCTGCTGGGAGAAGCTCAGTCCTCTTGCCTGGAAGGAGATGTCTGGGAATCCAGGGGCACAGGCTCGCTGTGTTTGTGCAAGGAGCCAACCCACTTGGAAATCAGTAGTTTGGCCGAGCTGAGGCGTGCTAAGCAGGGGACCCACACACTGGCTTGCTCCCCCCCACCCCAACTCCGCTGGCCAGCGTAGCCAGGGATGCCTCTGTGGGCCTTTGCGCTTCTTTTGGGCGTGCGGGGAGTGAGGGTGCCGGGACGGAACCCAGCCAGGGCCTGGCACTCGCTAGGCAAACGCTCTACGTTGGGCCGCACCCCAGCCCCCAGGATGTCCAGATGATAGACTTTTCCAGCAAACCCACGTTTTCCACAAAGGTGCAGACCCGGAGCGTTTTGTGGCCTGCACTGCGCCTGCTCAGCTGTCCAGGGAGGCAAGGAAGCGGCCAGGGGCACTGTCCGGGGCAGGGCCCCCTTCCAACCAGGCTTGGTGTACTACAGCCCCGGGCCCCAGGCTGTGGACAGGAGTGTGAGGACTTCAGCCAGAACGAGGCAGGTCCCGGCAGGGATGGCCATGTGCGCAGCCGCACTCGCTGTTTGCCTCTCGCCTGTCTGGGGGGGGTGGGGGTGGTGGTGAAGCAGAGCATTCTGGAAAAAGAGATCTCCCTTCGGAAGTGAAGAGCTGTTCCCTCCTGCCCCATCACTGTGAAGACAGCGGCTCATGCGAAACTCACTCGTCCTGTTCTCTCCCTATGACGCTGACATTGTGTTTCTCTAATTTACCTCCAAGAACTAATTCACGGCATTGCTGGAACTTATGAGGGAACTCTTCCTTCTCTAGTTCTGGTTCTATTTTTTTTTTTTTTTAACATTTATTTATTTATTGTGTGTGTGTGTGTGTGTGTGTGTGTGTCCCACCAGGGGGCGCAGCTGGCTAGCATGTGGTGCTGGGGGATCGAACCGTGGTCCCTGTACTTTGCCAAGCTTGTTCCAAGTAGGTGCTTTAGACCACTGAGCCATCTCTCCAGCCCTCTGGTTCTATTTTTGCGAGTGTCTTTTTTTTTTTGTGCTACAGGGGGTCGAACTCAGGACCTTGTGCTTGCTAGGCAGGCGTTTGTGCCCCTGAGCCATCTCCCTGGCTCATGTATCTTTTTGTGACTGAGTCTTGCTATGCAGTTCAGACTTGCCTTGAACTCATTTTATAGCCCAGGCTGGCCTCAATCTTGAATCAATCCTCTTGCCTCAGCCTACTGAGTGCTGGGGTCACAGGCACGTGCCATCACACCCAACCTTTAGACTTATGTTTTTTGTTTGCTTCTTGCTTTTGTTGTTGTTGTTTTGAGACAGAGTCTTGCTGTGTAGCCCAGGTGCGTCTCAAACTCACAGTGCTTCTCCTGCCTCAGCTTCCCAAGAGCTGGGATTATAGGTACGGGCCACCTCACCTAGTTTATAGTCCATATTCTTCATAATTTTCAAAAAAATCTTATTTATTTGGTACAGGGGCTCATTAAGCAGCTTGGGCTCATAGTGATCCTCCTGTCTCAGCCTCCCCAGTGCTGGGATTACAAGGGTGCGCCCCCATGCCAAGGTCTCAGTGACCAGCGTGGAGTGCCCCACCCATGTCCTGGGGCCAGCACAGCCTGTAGTACAAGGACTGGAACTTGGGTCCTTGCTCTTCCCAGGCAGGTGTCTGGGCTGTCTCCCAGCCCTACAGACCATGTTATTACAGTATTTTTGTGGTGCTGTCATGGCGCTAAGACATAGACGCACAGTCACAGCAAACTCAATTGCCGATGGAGAGGTTATTCATTAAATGCCTCTGTGGGCCGGGGAGATAGCTCAGTACAATAAGCGCTTGCCTGGTGTGTTAGTTGATACATTGTGTCCACTTGGCTGAATCAGCTCCGGCAGCGTGGGGGCCTCGCCCTGCAGGTTGGCAGGGCCCAGGAATTGAGAAAGGCAGGAAGCCGCCCTGCCTGGTGTCCTGCTGCCCCGCCCTGCTTCCGTGGAGAAGTCTGTCTTTGAAGGAGCTTGATCTCCGCAGCTGCGCCACTTTGGAGGAGCTCCGGATCTTGACTGTGGAGCGCCGGTCTTCGCAGTCAGCGCAGAAGGAGGAGAGAGGCTTGATGGATGCCGCTGCAGCTGCTGCTCTTCCTCTGCTCTTCATTGTTTTCTGCTGCATGAACTGCTGTTGTTTGCCTTGCAGCCAGCGGAATATGGACTGAACTCTCCAGTAACTGTGAGCTAAATAAACCTTTCCTTCCTTCATTTTCAGTGTCGGGTATTTGTCCCAGCACCGAGTAAAAAGTAACTAACGACACCTGGCAAGCGCAGGGTTCTGGGTTCAATCCCTGGTACCAGAAAAAAAAAAAATACCTATGTGAAAATTGGTCAGGCATTTGGGAAAAAATGGAACCTGAGTATGTGCTTCGGCTACCAAAATTCCAGTTGGATCGAATACTTAAGTATAGGCACAATGTAAGCATAGTGTGAAAACATGGGATGGATGTATATTATTTTATAATCTTAGAGGTGAAAGAGTCCAGTGGGAGACACTACCTCAGAAGCCCCAAAGGAAAAGAACAGGTGAAAACAAAAGGCATCTATGTGACAGAATCAGCCATACACAAGCTCAAGAGCTGGCAAGTCATTCTCAGTGTATGTGGCGTGCAATGAGTGATGCGGCTAACAAAACTCAGTGGAAAATGACAACTAAGAGAAAAGTGGTCACAATTCGTGGAGTGCACATGGTCCATTTGTTTCCAGTTCCTTTGGAGATGTTACGAGAACATCCATCCTCTGGGTGAAGCCCATCCCTGAGGCCCGGTCAGTGCTGCCTGGGCTTCTGGATCCTGTTTTCCTCTGACCTGACTCGATCTCAGCAAAGTCAGGTCGCTGCTCCTCTGCTTTGTGAAACTCCTCGCAATGATGCTGAGGTTGGCAGGATGAGTGCTGGTCCCTTAGGCAGTGGGTTGGGCTGAGGCCTGCACAACCCTCACAGAGACCCTTTGCTGTGGGAGGGGAGGCTGCACCATCGAGGGTCACAGAGCCCAGCAGAATTTGGGTGCTCAGCCAACCATGAGCCCAGGGGACAGCTTGGGCTTGCAGAACGTGACCATCATGGATGTCCTGGTCTGCGAGAGACCAGGAAGTGTAAAGGCTGATTGTGGGGGCAGAACTGGCCAAGGACAGATAGGCCGGTGTGCAGGGCTCAAGCCCTCTAAAAGCTCAGACAATTATAGTGAGTAGATTTACTTGGGAGGTTTGTTTTAGGTGGGGGATTGGAGGTTGAACCCAAAGCCTTTGCACCGAACAGTGCCACTTTTTTTTTTTTTTAAGACAGGGTCTCACTATAGTTCAGGCTAGCCTTGAAGTTGCTATGTAGGCCTTGAACTCAGGGCTATCTTCTTACCTTACTCTCTCAAGTGCTGGGATTATAATTATAGATACTTCACCATGCCTGGCTTCATCCATAACTCTTAAACAAAAAACAATTTTTTTTTTTTTGTACAAACGTGAGCAGGGTCTTGTTAAGTTGCCAGGGCTGGGCTCAAAGTTGGGGTCCTCCTGTCTCAGCCTCCCAGATTGGTTCAAGGGACAGTGACAAGGTCATGTTTGGAGGACAAGTTGGGATATGCTCTCTTTACTTGGCACATAGATGGCAAGGATAGTTTGGATGGGTGAGTGTTGGAGGAGCCAACTGGCCTGGCCTGCAGAGCCAGGAGAGACCGAGGACACAGACAGCCCCAGTGCCCCTGGAAACCTGGGGAGACCCCACCTTTCTGGCCTGTGCTTCCTGCATTCTGTCACTGTCACCTCCTTAGGATTCTGTCCTAGTGAAATTAGTTCCCTCTCTGACCCCTCTAGATCATGTATTCCATCTGCCAGTCATTCCAATTTTCTTTTTCTTTACTGTATTTACAAGTGTCCAAATATCATTTTTCCTTCTTTGCTAGAATTAAAGTGAAATTTATGTGAGGCAGGGTCTTGCCTGTCTGATGCACTAGTGATCTTTCCTGGATTTCGAATAGTGCTTAGTGGGTAGCCAGTGCTCAGCAAACATTTGTTGAGGAGTAAACAGAATTCCTTCTTCGACAGACTAGTTTTGCAGTATGGGAATGAAACCTAGGGCCTTTGCGCTAGCTACCTCCCCTGGCCCTGTCTTCAGTCTTTGAGATAAAGTCTTACAAAAATCACTAAGTTTTCCAGGCTGGGCTCAACTGTGTAATCCTGTCTCAGCCTCTTAGAGTGCTAGAACTGCAAGCGTGTGTCACCATGCCTGGTCTTGCTACACAAACTGTTTTACTTTTTCTTTTTTCTTCTTTCTTTTTATTTTTTAGACAGGTTCTCAGTATGCATTTCAGGTTTGCCTTGAACTCACCATGTACCCTAGGCTGGCCTTGAACATGGCAGCGATCATCCTGCCTCAGCCTCCCAAGATCTGAAATTACAGGCATGTGACATCATGCCCAGCCTTACATCAATTCTTATTCATGCTTCAAAACCTGCCACAAGCTCAATTTCCTGTAAACCCGTCCATGATCAATGCCCTGTGAGTGGATCTGAAGCAATCATGGGTATTGAACTGCTGCTGAATGGAAGAACTATATGTACACCTAGAGGTCAGATCCCCATCCCCTGTGGTCACCTTAGCATTGCCCGTCACTCTGCTGGTCTACTCTCTGCTTCTTGCAAACCTAGCCCAGCAGAAGGTGCCTTGCTTCTCAGACCAGACTCCTGGGCCTAGTGCTGCTAGGTGGTGTCCTGTGCCTCTGAAACCATCCTTGGCACTTCCGGGTCCCGGTTTCCTTCAGTGTTGTACCCTAACAGGTATTAGTCATAGAGCTGTGATGGGGTGCTTAAAATACAGCTCAGCACAGAGTGTACACGCGCAGTTTAATGACTTCATTTTGACAAATTACAGCTGGGACCTAGACGTGTGGCACAGACAAAAGGAAATCAGAGGAAATAACAGAAGAAGGGATGCTGAGGAACCAGTCTGAAGACAGGCCCAGGCTGCCTGGCCAGCGGCAGGCTCACCCCACACCCCGGCTCCAACGAGGCCAGACTGCTGCCCAGCTCCAGGTGTACCCCACCGCCTGCCTGTAGGGGACAGGGTCTGGAGACCTGCCACCTCCATCCACCGGGAGGATACCTTTGCGGTCTGCAGCCAAAGCTCGCTGTTTCGGATGCAGGGCAGCGCTGCTGTGTACGGGTTCTCCAAGGCAGCCCCTGCTTTTCCTAGAAAGAGATTACAAGAGCATGGAAGACCAAGAAGGACGGCAGGAGGGGCCACAGCCTCGCTGTCCGGGTGGAGCGGGCGTTCCCGGCCTCCCGGCCTGCTGGCCCTGCCCCAGGACACGGCAGAAGCGCAGGGTTCCTACAGCCTCGTCAGAGGATGCAATCTGGACGTGGGATGGAGAGGACCTTGGATCGGCCCCCTGCCCTGGGGGCTGCTGTCCCCGGGCAACCAAACGTCTCCTGGGAGGTGTAGGTCATGTACACGAAGCCGTCCTCATCCTTGTGGTCCCTGTAGATCTCCGCCATGGTCACGCTCGTGCTGACCAGGGTCTGGTTGTTCACCAGCAAGTAGAAGGCTTCCGTGGCCCTCAGGGCCATGCGGCTCCTGGTCGAGGAGGAGGGTTTTGAGGGGTCAGCATGGGAGGCAGAGGCAGCCCAGAAATCTGCAGCACCAGGGTGCTTCTGAGGACGGAAGCTACCCCATGCCTCCCAGGACTCTTTGACTCCTCCGGTGTGAGGAGACAGCCAGCCGGAAACACAAGGCGAGCAGCCTCAGCCACTGTGAGGTGAAGGGCTTTCCCCAGAGACACGGCCAACCATGGGCTGTCACCTGTGTTCGGAGCATGCTGGCCCCGCAGGGCATCAGGAAGCTTTGTGGGACAGGCCTAAGGTGTTTGGGCCGTCCGAGTTCTGACTCACCCATGTGGGTGGCACAGAGATGACACAGATGCCCCACAGGAGGACTCGGTCTCACCTGGAAGGAGACGAGCACGCCTCTCTTTGCTGTCCCTGGAGAAGCGGGCACAGCCTCCCCCCCACCCCCCCGTAGCCCTCAGGTGGGGCGAGGTGGAGCAGCTGGAACCAGATTGGCTTCTCCCATGGGGTCCTCCCAAAGCCAGCTCCCAGATGAGAGCCCTGCATGGACACAGCTGTCTCTGGTAAGCAACACCTGCCCAACAGTGGGCACAGGGTGAAGTTGGGGATGGCAGTGTTGCCACCAGCTGGGAAAGAGGCCCTTTTGGTGTGTTTTGTTCTGCTGCCCTCTTGGGGTGGAACCCAGGCCTCACGAGTGCTGGGCAAGACTCCTGCCTCAGCCTCCCAAGTGCTGAGCTCACAGGCATGCACTGCCATGCTCAGCTGTCACCTGTGTTAAATGCTTCTGCCAGGTGTGGTGGTGTATGCTTGCAATCCCAGCACTCAGGAGGCTGAGGCAGGAGGAGCACCATGGCTACAGAGTCCGGGCTATAGAGTGAGTTCAAGGCCAGCCTGAACTGTAGAGTGAGATTTTGTCTCAAAAAACAAAACAAAATGATAAAAAAATAGAATCAAATAAAGTATTTCTGAGAGCATCTTTTCAGGGGATTACAGAATCTTTAACTGAAACACACACATGAACACACACACACACACACACACACACACACACACCCCTTCTCGTAAGGCCCCCACCTCCATTCCCTAAATGAAACATGCAGCAAAATAGAGCAAGCCCAGGTCTGCCCCCTGTGCACATGCCTGTGCCCGTACCACTCACTGGATGATGCCAAGGAACTGGGTCATGGTCAGCTCCCGCGGGACCAGAAACTTGGTTTTGTCCAGCAGGGGCAGCGACCGCTCACGTGGGTCACGCTCCAGTATCACCTGTGGAGAGTGGTGGCCACCCTTCAGGGCAAACTCCCATGGGGACCCCGCAGAGCCTTGCTGCTCCGGCCTGAGCTCTCTCAAGGATGAGGTCTTGGCCTTCTAAGGGGGCACTGTGGTCTTACCGGGACCTTGTTTGGGAACTTTGCCAGGATTCCAGCCACTTCCTCTTGTCTGGTGGCTGCAGTGGGTTTAAGAAGGACAGAGTGAGCAGCCAGCTGGTGCACATGGAGTCCCCCCCTCCTTCTTGGGGGACCCTACAGTCCCCAGGGCTTTACCGAAACTCTTCCTCTTCTTGAAAGGCTTCAGGCTCCTCGGAGTTGCCAGTGGAGACGACATTTGACCCCCAGCTAGGTCGATGTCTGTCTTTAGGAAAGAAAAAAGAAATCCCACAGCCCGGAGCAAGCTCGTTCCTCCAGCAGCTTCCAGGCTGCCTGCAGGAGCCCAAAGGGCCCCTCGGGTTGGGCAGAGTGACATCAGGCTGGCCTTTCCTGTCCCCTCCCCACCGTGGGCAGCAGGGGGTCAGCGCCTGGGTGGAGATGGAATGGCCACCTGCGTCCTGCTCAGAGAAGGCCTTTGCTCGTGACCAGCTCAAGATGCTTCTGTGCTGAAGGAATCAGGATTGGTAATGAAATCATTGGCTCAGACTCCTGCAGCTGAGGTCTGCGAGAGGTTGGGCAGGCGAAGCTGGATGCTGAGCACAGAACCGCAGCGTATGATGTTTGCCCCGCTGGGTTTCAGTCTGGTTTCCATCCCATTTCTTTCTATCCTACATTGCTCCCTTTTGGAATGGAAAAATTTACCCCATGCCTTTGTAGGTCAGCAGTGTTTTGTTCTCTTTGCATTTTTCCAGGGGCAAACAGAAGACAGTTTGCCTTAAATCCTAGAGGAGACTTGAGACTTGGACTCTTTAGCAATGCTGAAACTGTTAGGAGTGCTTGCTTCGGCAGCACATATACTAAAATTGAAACTGTTAGGATTTTGGAAACTCATAGAAATGGACTAATTTGCAGAAAGGGAGGTACATGAGTTTTGGGCGGCAGGGGTGGAATGTTATGGTTTAGCTATGAGGAGCCCCAAAGCCTCATGCACTCACGGCTGGGGCTTTGGGAGGCAATCAGATCATGGGGGCGGGGCTCTCATCTGCACCCACTGATGAGTTTACAGCTAAATGTGCAGGCTGGGAGGTGGGGCCTGGTCAGAGCAGGTCCTGGGGGTGTGACCCCTTGGGGGGGGTCTGCCTCCTTCTTCCTCACTTGATCCTTCTGCCACCATGCCAGGAACTATTTCCCCTCTGAGATGTCCCACTGCTATACCACCTTGCCTTGGAGCCAGCCAGCTACCAACTGAAACCTCTATGACCGGGACCAGAACAAACCTCCCCTTTACTGTATGTGTACTGAGTATTGTGTCTCAGCTACAAAAGAAGAATGCAGACCTTGGAGTCGGTGTGCAAGCTCAGACAAAGCAGCTGGTGCAGTGCCCTGTGTCACGTGTGGTCTCCTCCACATGTGAATTAACTCTTTCCCTCCCTTCTCCAAGTTGTGCTGCCCCAAGGCCTCTATGCACCCAGGAAACTTTCCCTGAACTCAGCTTGGCAGTTTGAGGCAGGCATAGAAGGAAACAGCCCTGTTTCCCTGGGTTGGGGCCAGGGGCAAATAAACCCCCGTCATATCATTTGACCAATCATTGTTGGCATTTGGCTTTCCTGGCTGAGATATAAGGAGACTACCTGGACCAAGCACCCCACCTCTTAGGATGGAACAAAGTGGAGGGGGACCGTTGGAGAGGGTGTGGAGAAAGTAAACCATAGTAGTGTTGCCGAGTGCGCTATCACTGAGGCACAGGAGTGGGCTGGACTGGTTTCCTGCTGAAGTTGCTTTGCATGGGAGCAGGGTGTCCACTGCATCCCCGTGTGGGGAGAACCCAAGCCACTCACGATATCCCGGGGTAGCCCCGCGGAAAACAGCCGGCCGTCATGTGCGCCCTGGATCGGAGCCCTGTGCAGGACGTTTTTATAAACTGACTGCACCAAGCAGCTTTCTGCCACTGTGACAGCACCTGGGAGAGAAGTGGCTTAGGACGAGGGAGAGGGCGGATCCATCTCGGCTCCCCACTGCCGTGGGTTCCATCCACGTCCCTTGGTCCCTGGTCAGGTCTGTGGTGCGACAGCAGTGTGTGCCTGATGTGCATGTGGGCAAAGCTCCTCACCTCGCAGTGACCAAGACACAAAGAGGGAGAGAGAGACAGGACAAGGTTGGGGCCCTAACACCCCCCAAGACACGCCCCAATGGCCCGGGCTCCACCCCTTTATACCGCCTCCCAAGGGCCTCCCCAGCTCTGGGTAGCAGCCTCAGGCCTGGGAAGTGGCACACACCTGCAGTCCCAGCAAGCAGGAGGCTGAGGCAGGAGGATTGCTGTGAATTCAAGGCCAGCCTGAACTATATAGTGAGACCAATAAACCGAAAAGAAGGAAAAAGACATCTGGAGGCCAGCACCTAGAGACTGAGCCGGTACAGTGAGAGCTGGCAGAGAGAGGGCGTCTTGGAACAGAGATTAGAGAAGATTTTTTTCCCTCCCACCAAGGAACACGCCAAATGCCTAAGCCTCTCGTCTTAAAATAACAATCAGTCAGCCTTTCCTTGACTTAACACTGCATGTGACTGTCATAAAAAGAACCTTGGAAACAGGCTTGGATGCCAACCCTGCTTACTGGAAAGTTAAGCTTTTTGGACGGCATGAGAAGGCGGGTGGTGTGCGCTCACTTACAGCTCAGCTGGGGCGGAGCCAAGGAAGCCTGGGGGCGCATGCAGGCCTGGGGGGGGTGCGGGAAGAGGCGGGCTGGCTGTCACCCCGCTCCAGTCCCAGCTCTGGGGTCCGGTTCCACTCAGCTCGGTGGCCCTCTGCAGCCTGGCTCCGCCCAGCTAAGGCCCCTGCTCTCCTGTTCCTGAGCTCACAGCGCCACCTGCTCTCCTGTCCCTGAGCTCACAGCGCCACCTATCTCGGCTCTTCTCTGCCTCCCGCAGCTAAAATTCTGGCCCAGTGTGGAAAGGGTCTGAACCTGCCCGGCCTGGCCGGGGGAGAGGGAGGAAGAGGAGGCTCACCGGCCTTCGGGACCTTCACTGCCCCCTCTCAGGGCCCTGCTGTCCTCCACCCCAGCCCCGCAGCCCTCCTCCTGCGATGACTTTAACTGCTGCCTGGGAGGCGGTCTGGAAGACGACTCTGCTTCTGCAGCGCCACTAAAACTAGACTGCAGGGGTGGGGGTAGGGGCGGGGACGGGGGCGGGCGCTGGGGGCCTGGAGTGACCTGGGAGCCTGAGTTCCAACCGGAGAGCCGCTGTCCTTCCTCGGAGCCCACAGGTGCCAGTGACTGGGGGAGACCCGAGAAGTCGGTACCGAGTGGGGAACCATGAGGGCCCTCAAAGAGGGCACTGCAGGCTGCGGGGCTGGCAGGGGAAGAGGAAACCTTCCTCTGTGTGTCCATGCCCGCCAGGCCGGGTGCACGCCGCACTGGAAGATCGCTTACAAAGTTGAGGAAGAGAGCTGAGGGCTACACTTTATTTCATTCTTTTATTTGTTTTTGTTTTGAGACAGGGTCTTGCTATGCAGTCCAAGCTGGCCTCAGACTCAGAGGTCCTCCTGCCTCAGCCTCCAGGGACTCCAGGCCAGCCCCACCACACTACCCGCTTTTGTCTTTGTCATCACAGGCCCTCTAAGGTGCTGCTTAACAGGAGGACGTGTCTGTCAGAATAACACAGGATGAAGCCTTTACTGAGGAGTCAGAACACAAAGGAAAAACAGGATCACTGACTTAGGAAGTTGCTTGAACTGAGAGGGTGTAGCTCAGTGGGAGAGTGTTCAGTGAACGTGCAGGGATGCAGGGTCCCATCCTGGGGGTGGGGAGAGAGAGACAGACAGAGACAGAGACAGACAGAGGGACAGAGAGGGAGACAGAGGCAGAGATTAGTTTGCTTAGTAAACATGTGAAATGCTCTTTTTCCGTTTCTTCTCACCACGTAGCCAAGGCTGCCTTTGACCTTGCAGTGACCTTCCTGTCTTAGCCTCCCAAATCTACTTTCTTATGTAATCCTCTGGGAGGAAAAAGGAAGATTCTAGAAGCCTGCAGCGTCAGCTATCTGCTCTGGTTCCCACGGCCGCTGAGGTCTGAGCCTAGGACGCTGTGCTACCAAAGCCCGTCCCGATATAACACTTTCTATTCTAGACAGTTTAAAACAGAACCCTGGCTGTCACAGGAAAAGCACTTCCCGAAACACCAGGTTTGCCTTTTCGCATCCCTCCCTGACCCCGGTGAAAATGTGAATACCATGCCTGGTCTTCAGCAGCCCCTCTGGGCTTACTAATCTTTCCATCCAGCAGAGAGAGAAAAAGTTTAACTTGAGCACAACCTGGGAACTAGCCTGCCTTCCTGGAAGCAGCCAGAAAGGAGAATTAAGCTTTTTTTTTTTTTTAAATAAACAATGGGAATGAGCCCAGCTGCTTTACCCTGAGCCACACCCCCATACTACCCCAATTTCTGTTTTATTTGGAGCCAGCGTCTTTCTTGTTAAGTGCCCAGGAGGGGAGCAAATTTGCGTCCCTCCTGCCTCAGCCTCCCAGAGTGCTGGGATTAGCACACCTGACTGCTGGCCAGCTTGTTCCTCCAAGAGCCAAAGGATTCTCCTATTTCCAGTGCCTGCTGCTCGCCCAGTCTGCCTGACATGCAGAGAAACTGAGCTGGTTGCCGTGGGTGGGCAGGAGAGCTGTGCGCAGCACCTTTGGGGGGCTGGAGGTGGCTGCCACAACGGCCTCTTAGGACGCTTTGCTCCCCCAGTCAGCCCCTGAGGAGTGGATTTGAGCTCAGAGTTAAAGGCTGAGCCAGGTAGAGCAAGCAAGCGGCAGTGATGGGGTGTGGCCAGAAGGTTTTGGGGTGAAGGGAGTTCTATGTGCAGAGGCCCTGGCTTTGTCCCCAGTACCACACGCCAGCACGCACACATGTGTGGACACACCTGCACACACGGAGGGTGAGGAGGAGGATGAGCCAGCCGAGCTGACAGAAGTGATCCGTGGGATGAGTGTGAGACCGGAGAGGGAGCTGTGACAGGAGTAACACGGGGGATCCAGGGCAGGGGTGCCCCTAGTTGCTTCTGAGCGAGGGCTGGAAGGTGGGGAGACGCCCATGGGCTCAGGTACATATGGGTCACTGGGTCCCTGTGTGAGTGACGAGGTTGTCGAGGTGGTTGATACCAACTACAATGGCTCCTTCCACCTCGATCATTTCAACATCATTCTAAGGCCATCTGCATTTTGACGGGAATGGAAACTCGTCCAACCATTACGGAAATCCATA